GGGGGGGGGGGGGGGGGGGGGGGGGGGGGGGGGGGGGGGGGGGGGGGGGGGGGGGGGGGGGGGGGGGGGGGGGGGGAAAAGCTAACTGGGGCCGGTTTGGTGGGGTTTGTGAGGAGGGTTCGTGAGGCCGGGCCGGGTTGACGTGGGGTGTGGGGGGAGCTAACCCATCCCGTTTAATTGCTTACGGTATCTAAATTATTTGTGGATGCTTCACAGTGTAGATAAGGTCTAAGGTAAATAAAGCGAATCAACTCCCTTCCCTTCCTCCTCCACCCTGTAAAAACCAGTTAAAAAAATTCAATAAGCTCGATTTAACTTATTCAAACTATTAAAAAAATTCGGTTTAAAAATAGTTTAAACAATTTAGATGACTTCGATTTAAAGTGTTTAAAGCAGTTAAGCAATTTTTTTAACAGGGTGAAGGCTGGTTTAAATTATTTAAAATATTTTCGGGTCCTTCACTTTTTCAATTATTCGAATCAGCTCCCTTCCCATTTTGGAATAATCTAGACAATTTAAATATTGTAAGTTAGATCCGCTCAATTTAAACTGTTTAAATAATTTTCGGATTTAAAGCTATTTAACTAAATCCAATCATTTAAATCACTACGTGTGTGTTAAACTGTTTAAATTAGTACCAACTATGTAAAGTAGTTTATACTAAATGAAAAAGCAAACGTTAACTAGACCCTAAAAGGCTCTCGACCATGTCTAAATGCATCTGTAAATAGATAAATATATATATATATACACACACACATAGTACTCTCAGCCACTACAGTTCATGCATAGGTGGGAGGCAAGAAATGAGCACGAAGGTGCGGCTCCAAACTTGTAGTCCTGTCAGCATTTGCCACAGGACCCGCGCTTGCGCAGCTGGGATGCGGCAAAGATGGTCCCCGTTCTCTCCTTTCCACCTAGTTCTCTTTTGTTATCTTTCCGTTTCGCCTTAACCCACAACGTTATGTTTTCTGCAGGCTTTTGTAAAGCGGCACTGCCAACGATGGGGATGATGGGAGCTAGAGTTGAGCCGGGTTGCACCAGACTAGGCTCTGGTTTAGGTAGTTTAATAGAAGCCAACTTTATGTTCTACGAATCCGACAACTGGTACATTATTCTCTGTAAACCAATGGTGGCAGCTTACTTTAAGCTCCGTAGAAAGCCCATGCAATGCCAGACTTGCACGTGAGATTGACGACACTAACTTGTGCATAGGGTTCAAGGGTTTGGTTAAGCACATGTGGCTGTATCAGTGTGACCACGGTTTGTTAGTATCGACGCCCTTTTCCCTAAGCCCTAGGCCTTGTTCCCTGATCTTGCGAGACGGAAAAGGGACGTTAAACAAAACAAAAAAACCGTGCATCGATGCTTTAACGCTGGACTCAGGCACGGGACCTTTCAGCAAGGAAGAGGATCAGGCTCCCGAGCTTCTCTTAGCGAACCCGCATGATGAGGTATGTCTGTAGGAATTATATATGTGGCTGCGAAACGCAAACCATCATCGCAAAGGCGTTTACATTACAAAGGAGGGGCACATAGGACTTACAGCGAACATGCCATGACTCTGCAGGCGCGCACGTCCCAAACCTATTAGCACACAATCACGTAGCAGGCGAGGCAAGGGCTCATTTAAATACACGTACTACGATGACGGCGACGACGACTGCTGCTACTACAACTGCTAATTACTACAATCACTCGGTCAGCATTCAGTCAGTCAGTCAGTCAGCTGGTTAAGTTGGCCAGCTGGTTGGTTGATTGATTGGTTCCTTGGATATTAGATAGCTGGCTAGTTAGTTAGTTAGTTAGTGAGTTAGTTCTTAGTTAGTTGGTCAGTCAGTCAGTCAGCCAGTCAGTCAGTCAGGCAGGCAGTCAGTCAGCAAGTAGAAGGTGGCAGGTCGCAGGTCGCAGGTCGCAGGTGACAGGCAGGCGGCCGGCAGCAGGCAGCAGCTAGTATTGGTGTAGTAGTCGTCGTCGTCGTCGTCGTGGTGGTGGTAGTAGTCGTCGTCGTAGTAGTGGTAGTGGTGGTGGTGGTAGTAATTGTCGTAGCAGTAGCAGTAGCAGTAGCAGTAGCAGTAGTAGTAGCAGTAGTAGTAGTAGTAGTAGTAGTAGCAGCAGTACTAGTAGTAGCAGCAGTAGTGGTGGTAGTAGTAGTAGTAGTAGTAATAATAATAATAGTATTAGGTGTCGTTCTGGCTCCTAGTCATAGTCTGTTGCACATCAAATGCCTCAAGGTCATCGTCAATCACTCGATTCGATCCTTCACAACATCATCCATCAGATGTTTCGCAACAGGCTTGTATAGTCCAACATATCGGTTCAGCTGCCGTGACCAATCCTCCCATTTCTCCAGTTCACCGTGGTAAACCGCTCACTCCAAAGTCCATTCTCTTTCACTTTTTCCTGTCTCCAGAGCCAAAGCTCAGCTACCATGCAAAATTACAGTACACAATTCAGACAGTTGTGACCAACCGAGATCAATCACTTCCCCAGTCACACAGAAGACCAATCACGCCTTCCTTTATGCGACCAAGCCAGCCATGTCCAGTCTTGAGCCAAATGCCCATCGGCATTGTAGCATTCGATAATGCATCATGATCATTCTAGAGCATTCTAGGGGGGTGTCATTTAACAGAGTGAATGAGTGAGTGACGGACTGACTGTCTGAATGTCTTAGTACCACGATAACGACGACGACGACGACGACTAAGACTACAGACACTTGGCATGAAAACTACCCGAAGGACCTGCCCAAAAAGCTGTAGCCTGCGAACAAACCAGATCCGAATTAAGGAGTGTGGACGAACACAGATTACATGTGGATATGTAGGTGTATAAATCGCTTGTCATAGTCTATCCATGCAGTTGTCTCTTGGTTCGAGTCTGGTACATTTTTCTGGCAGAACTCGCCTGGCTGCAGGATGGTAATGCTCTTTGAAGGTCCTATGTAGCACTAGTTGTTAGGCCTGACCCCCAGCAAATGTCCAAGTGTTTTGTTCTTCTGTCGGTATTGAGGACGCTTGTTCCAGTATCCTGCTTACAGTACTGAAGAATAAGGAGACCATGACTGCGCCCATACCACTTTACATCCGTGCACATGTGTCGATAGATCTGTGTGGAGAGGCAAGTGGTTATATGAAGAATAGTTCCTTCATGCGATGCTTGTACTATACATACATATATATATATTTATTTATATATATTATCTGCCCATTTATATTAGTGAGTGTTTTGTGTTACTGTATTGTGTGTATATTTATTCATTTGTCTACCAGTAGTTAATTTTTTGTTTGTTCATTTACCCATTTGCTTATCTACACAATATGTGTATGTATAAATATACACACAGGCAAAGAGACAGACAGACAGACAGACATGCCATGATGTGCAGGCATACATGCACCTAAGTCCTTCTTTTTCGGCCAGCAGAAGTGCATCTCTGAGCGTTCCAAATATGATATAGATTTGCAATAATAAAACGTACGAGCGCACATAATAACATTTAACCCTAATATCTGTTTCACAGGTTCGTGTTGGTTTGTGCTGCTCGGGTGCATGCCAGACAGGTCATCCTGGATTGGGTCGCGGAGCCTGGGCATCAGAACGGCCGAACCCCGGTAGACCCCATGAGATTTCCAGGTAGGTCTTGCCTGCGGCTGCAAGGGAGTTGAGGGGCTGAGCTTCAGGAGATCAAGTAAGTTAGAGGGAGATGAGAGCCAACTCGCAACGGGAAGATATGCCTTTCCGGGCACTTGGAATGACATCTAATCGGCGCGACAATCAATGCTTGCGGCTTTTGCCACCAACCAGGCACTAGCATATCCAGAAGCACGTACTCCGAAGCCCTGGATGTGAGGAGAACCAAAGATGTGAGTTCTGGGTCATGATGAGCCTGGGGCTGAAGAACCGCACCCACCACCAGATCAAGGTAGGACTGCACAGTTGAAGGGGTTAAGGGGCTTTAGGATTTCATGGTTTAGGCTTAGGGGTTTAGGGTTTCGGGTCATATTCAAGTCGAGAGTTTCACTCTGGGACGAATGGGTTAAACCTACCCCCTTAACCCTGAAAGCCCTCAAGCATTCGACGAACTTGTTAAATATCGATTGTCGATGCCGAGAGGCCCGATTCCGCGAGCTTTGCCCGAAGGAGAGCAACCTCCTGGACGGGCTTCGGGATAGCTTCCAACCACTCTTCTCCTTATGCCTGTAGTTTTCTTGCGTGAGCGTATGATGCGTGTGTGTTAGTTTTTAGTTAGTTTCCTGCAGCTTGTGAGCTTTTGGGATCGGAGCTTTGTGGTCGTGGCTGGGAGGGCTAGCAGCTGTCTTGAGGGCTATCAACCTTTTCTGTCAGAGCCTTCCTGGTGAGCGTGAATGTCAGGACCTCATGAACGCTACCAGGGCTGCCGTGATGCCCTTTGGACACAAGTGGCGGGACCCTATGCCATGCTGCACAGATGAGCATGCCTCTGCATCTTCAGCACTGTAACTCGCCAAGAAGTCGTGCGTTTGTCTGCCTTGCCGCTCAGACAGCAGGCTCCTACCCAACCACGGTCAGAAACGTGCGCTAGATTCCGGATCTGAGTTCAAACCCCAAACACGAAGTTTTTATCCTTGAACCCCAAACCCCGAAGCCTGACCCGCAATGCAGGAGGCAAGCGGATAACCGAAGTCCCTTGGTGGACATGTCGTCATTTGTAGCTGTATACATTCGTCAGCCACGCTGAGAAATTGCTTGCATGGCATATCAGATGAGGTTGATCATATTGTAGATTTGTATTGCTCAACATCTTCCCTTGTCCTGGAACATGAATGGTAAAGGCTCCTCACACAGCAACACAACGATCGGCAAATGTCTCAAACCATCCACGTGAACCACTGTGTGGACGCCATGTGCGGCAGTTGTTCAGCCATGCTCAATGATGAGAACGGTCACGCATGGCAGGTTGTTGGAGCGAAGATGAGGTGCCTGAGCCCTAAACCCTAAAGTGATTATATATAAGACTATCTAATTTAAATATATAGCGTCAAAAACACTTAGCTATGGAGCTGGTCATGGAAACCGATGGTCCGACGGAGAGACAGCCGGGAGAACGGGGAGAACGGCCAGCGCTGGTTTCTGAAGTCTGGACATGGAGCCGATTGTACGGGTCAGGACGGCTCTTGGAGCAGAGATCAGCTGCCAATGTCTCGGGACAGCTTGGAAAAGCCCCGAGGCGCGAGACTGGGCGCTGGTCGACGCTGCATATTTTGCGCAGCAGGAGTTCGCTCACTTGTGCTGGGCGATGCAGCTAGAGGGTGCAATGCCCAGAGAAGTGTCGCCGAAAAAAGGGGCGCAGCCCGCGGCCTTCTCCACGACCGACGAGAGGACTGCAGGCTATTTCTTCCCCGGGTCACACTTCCGCACGGCTGGACACCGGAGACGCAATTGTTTGGTGAGGAATTCAGAAAGTTTGATGCGCCGCTACCAGCATGTCCTGTAGTTCGTCTCTGTGCCACCATGGGCAGGGGAGCCCGGACGAGGTGCTGACAGGTGACAAAAGATTCAAACAGACAGACCCCCCAGTACGGCCCCAGCATTGTCGAAATTTCAATGGACATCTCATGACAGTCAGTGATTGTGGGGTTGTTTCGTGCCGAAAACCACAAGACTTGCATTGGAAGAACTCATAGTTCGTTTAAGTAGAGGGTTGTGTTTCCCGGCACACAGGCTTCGGGGCTTTTTGGTCTTGGTCTCACCAGCAATTTACACTGCTTCAGCGAAGTCGGTGTTGTGTTGTTATCTATCGACCAACTCTCAGCCAACTGAATATGCCGTCCTGCTTCGCAGTTTGTTCTAGGTCCCATTGTAAGCTCCACCCTCCCAAATCTTGTTCTGAAGCAGTGGTACTTCTAGTCTGAATTGCATCTCGACCTTCACCAGAACTCGTCCATGGGGATCCTGCGAAGTCGAGCTGAATATTATCTTTTGGGTTTGGTGATTTCCCTTGATGTTCTCATCTCCGAGCAGACCCACTCGAACGCCCCGCATGGAGTGAGTGTAAGCACCGAAAGCCGAGACCCGATACCCTTCCCCTTGTCCCTGAAGTTGCGGGAAGGACCGTCGGCGGCCACGCTCGGAGCTTTCAGCAGGCGACTTCCTGATGCATCTCAAGGAGGTGGCATGAGGGAGTTTAGGGCTTCAGGTTTACAGTGGGGCCTAGGCGGGTTGTTGACTCTGGAAAAGTTCCTAATCAACCTGAGATGGGTTTGTGGCAAACCGGCTATCCTAAACTCTAAACCCTAAACCCTATTTCACTTGAGAGCTTTTCCTTCATGCCGTCGACATACTGTACTTGCCATAGAGGGTCGGAGCAGCTTTTGCGAGAGGGGCATCACAAGTGAAGCTGGCTCGCCTTTCCTGCCCAAAACCCAAACAGCGAACCTCAAGTCCCAAACCTTAAGATCCAAAGCCTAACCCCTAAACCCTAAATCGAAGCTCATGGCAGGACGAGTCGGGCAGGCTTACGACGGATGACAAGCGGGCGGAGCCTTGACCAGATGCGCGTGGCAGAGCTGTGTTCTGAAAGCCAAAACATCATACGACACGTAACGAACCTGCATGCATTGAATATATATATATATATATACATACATACATATATATATATATTACATATATATATATAGAAATATTCCATATATATATATATATATGTATTTATTTATTGATTTGTTTGTTTGTTCATGTATGTGTTATATATACATACAGATGAAGAGAGAAAGAGAGAGAGAGAGAGGGGCAACCCTCGGCCGTAGCCCTGGCGAAAGAAAGAGAGAGAGAGAGACATGCTCAGTTGCCTTGTCGGTGCAGTTTCGTCTCTCCAAGCCTCTCCCAAACGGTCGGGGGCGCGACAGCGCGCGGGCTAGGGGAACTTCCCCTAGTCCCTAACCCTGGCGAAAGAAAGAGAGAGAGCGAGTATCATGCCGTGGCCGTGGAGCGATGCCTCGTCCCAGTAGTTCGACGATGCTTCTTCCATCACCCGTAAATGACTAAAACCCTAATGCCTAAGCCTCGCCCAGGCGTGTTCCAGTTGTGAGTGCTGAAACCCCGAAGCCCCTGGACCCTGTGCCTTGCCATTGTCAGAGTGTGAGCGCCGAGACCGTTTCGTCGCGGTAGCTTTCATGTTCAATCTACAGGACCGGCATCTCAACCGCATCAACGACATGAGGCGACCGGCCCTTGACCGGCCTGAGTAGTCCCCCCCCCATGAGATGCAGAAGCCTTAGTAGTAGTTGCTGGCTTGGGGCTGCTTTCTACATAGGTCCTAGGAGTGGTGTCTGCGATCTTCGGAGTTACTTCAAGGCTCTGTGGATACGGATGGATACGGCTTCCTGCCAGAGTCAATTGAACTCCTTCGCTCGGCTCTGAAAGCTTTCTTTGTTTTGCGCACTTCTAGCATTTCTAGCCCTAGTCGTGCTTGCCCCGACAGGTTGAAGATGAGGCAGCAAGCTCAAATCGGCTTTGAAGGCGCGAAGCGTGCGGTTGACAGTTTGCTAACAGTGTGAACTGCCACGTTGCCTTGGCTTCCTTCGGTCCCGAAAGGGATTTAGGTCCAGACAGGGATTGGCCTGAGGTGAGCAAGGGCTAGAGCTGAGAGGTTTCCTGACGGAAGTCGGACTCCGTATAGAGAAATGTTTGCACAAGTCCGTACAGCTGTTGCGCACATTCACTATAGGGGCCGTAATAATTACCTACTATACTGTTTTGGGGGTTCGTTTTTAGAACTGTCTACCCCAATACCCTATTCTGATAGTTAAGGCCCTTATATTGCACACCGAGTCAATTCTGCTGCTCATGGTTTTCCCCAGCCAAGGCACCGAGCCGGAGCCGGTCCAAGACGTCACAGTCACTTCGAAGCGCCAGCGGGTCTCAAGGAAGCAGGCCGAAGCAGTGCCAGAACCGGCGGAGAAACCCGGGCAAGGGGAGACCAAGGAGGAGGAGCAGGAGGTGCCCGAGGTTGCTGGTCACGTTTCTGACCCCTCTGACGACGACGTGCGTGTCTGCGTGCGTCCAAAGGCGGCAGCTCAGGAGAAAGGCTTTAGCCTGACCCGCGGCTCACGGGCCAAAGAGCCTCGGCTGCGATCGAAGCGGCTCAGACTGGCTAAAGGCCGAGCTAAGCGGAAGGCAACCCAACCCCCAGAGATGGTCTAGCAGTTCCCCTGTCGCCGTGGCCATGAGCCCGGCACCAGGTTTCACCACTTTACAAGATGCAGGGGTTCAACAGCATCGCAACTTCACAACTTGTCGCGCCAGCTTTGCAAGATCGAGCTTTGAAGGTGGAGCTGTGCCGGGAAAAATAAGGAGCAGGGAGCCATTCTGATTTCCTGGTGCTATGCAAAAGCCTCTCGAAGCCTCGAGGGGGCGAAATTGGAGTTCAGGCCTGCCGACACTGAGTGATTTTTCCAGCCAAGCTCGCGAGGCTCGCGTGCTCGGCGCTGCAGAGACGGCCCGGCAAGTCCGTGATGAGGGTTTAGGGTTTAGGGAGGTCTAGGCAAAGGCCTTTGGGTTTGAGGGTTTTTGGTCGCCGGAGGTTGGCTTTGCTTGAGTTTGTTTGGTCAGGGTAGATGGCGCTTATGTCTTCTGACGTGGCATCTGGTGTACATGTATGGCTGTTTCAAGCTACACGTCCAAGAGAAAGAGCCCCCGAATGCAGAAGTACTATAATATGCCCCAAGACCCCATTCTGAGTAAGTTAATATTAGCACCCCTGTGTTCATCACCGTCACCTTGTCTCTCCAGGATTTGGATCTGAAGAAGCCGCTGGAAGAGCTGTGTCGCCGTCTTCCGGTCCCTGCCTCAGACAGCTACCCCTGCATGAAAGAGAATGAATCACGTATAGAGGTATATGTAAGGGGCTCTCTGACTCCTTAAATGGCGAGCCAACCTGGCGTTCGCACCAGTGCGGAATTCCAAAAGATGGACTTAGTTACGTAGGTACTTCGGTGGAGGTGTTTTGAACTCTCCGGGCGGTGCAAAAGGAAAGAAGTATATCTCATTAGCTTCACATCTGGATGGACGCAGTGGTATCACCGAGTGCGTGATTTTTTGAGGCTGTCCTGAACCCTCAGCCTTTGGAGCCTAAACCCCAAAACCCCTAGACCGCAAGAGCTTTCGATGGGCTTTCAAGATTGATCAAGCGAGTGAAGCAGGTGCGGCAAGGGCGCTTCACGGTGCCAGGCTCTCGGATTTGCCAGCCCTTCGGAAAAGCTTCTCCGTCCAGGAACAGCCAATCAAACCCCCGTTCTCCTCCAACTTTTTTTGGGATCTCTCCTTGATGGAGGACTGCTGTACCACACCATTTCGTCATGTAGATGATAGCTACAGATGCCTCCTGCAAGCGCTGCATTTCCATAGACCCAGGACTGTGCAGATGCCTAAGGAGGCTCCTCGGGCAGGGTAGAAGTGGAGGTTCGGATGTTCCGTTGGCTACCTTGCACCCGGAGTTAATTAGGACTTGGCTTCGCGAGTTGTACTGTCTCCGCGACAAGCCTATAGGTCTTCGTTGTTGCGCCTCCGTTAGCAAGACTTCGTCGTGCTATACCACGACCGACTTTGTAGAAGGGGTCTCAGGTTTGGGTGGGTGGAGCCTTATGTCGGTCTTATTGTCCTCATGGGCCGATATGCACAGTGTCATGTTCACATTCGAGCCTGTGTTGAGACCTTAATTAGACTTCACCGCAATATCCCGTGTTTGAACCCGTAAACTCTGTCGTACATCCTGGACTGTCAAGGATAGTCTCGCAAAAGGAGCATGCCATGCACGGAAGCTTCATTGGGCTTAGAGTGTGCCGACCACTTCTCAAGCAGTTTGCAGGATGTCGGAAGTTCGCATTCTTACGTATGTCCTGGCCCGTCCTGCCATTATCGGAGCAACGTAACGCAGTAGCTTCGATGGATAGCAGCCTGTCTGTTTCAGTTTAGACAGCCGATCTGTGACGAAATCTACGGCCCGTCACATCGTAATTCATGAAACAGTCAGTCATGAAACCATTGATGCTCAGAGCCGTGGCTTCGCCTCGCTGCAGGTTATGCAGGCCGCCAAAGCAGCTGCAGAGACCTCCCCCAAGGCCAAGCATGTGAATCTTTTTGGGAGGTTGCTACGACAAGACATCCGGGACTTGCCTGCCTGGTTTTTGAACTCCTGCATGCGACTCGGGCCCCTTCAACGCACAGCAAGAGTCCAAGACCTCACTGCATCTTTGCCCATGTCCCAAAAGCCCTCTGTGCGAGAGATTTCCAAGTACCCAGGTAGCTGGTCGGAGAAAGATGCAGAGAGCTTGGACGGCTGCAGGTGAAACCGGTGCCATCGCCGGCCATGGGCCCCAAATCCGAGCCTGCTGCGGGCCCAAGACGCATCCTGCGGCCCCCGGTTAGAAAGCCGCTACCGTGAAGCCACTAATATGCCACAATATACTGCAGCATATTTATAGCAGAGAAAAACTATATACAAAATATATGATAAATATCTATGTCTATGCATATTATACACACGTATATGTATGTATACATATATATATATACATGTATGTATAAAAACATCAACATGAATATCAATCTAAAGGTTGTCATTTGTGATGTTAATATTAGTATTGATACTTGTATATGAATGTTAATCTTGATGTTAATAGTCACGTTAGAATTCGCATTGTATTAATATTCGTCTTAATATACCTATATATATATACACATATGTACACCCGCGAATGTTTCCTTATTTATTTGTATATCATAGCATGCAACAAGCTAACATACGAGCAAGAGCCCCTGTACTACTGCACAAAGTCTAAGGCGAAGTCCCAGAAAGCCGCAAAGAAGGCCAAGGCAGTGTTCTCAGATCTCTCTCGTCGCTGCTTTGTTTTGCGTCCCCCCCCCTTTCCAAAATCCCAAGAAGCAGATTTTGGTTTTTGGGATTGGGGGGGTTCGATTTGTATGAGGTTTAGGGTTGAGGGATTTAGGGTTCAGGCTTTGGCCCCGAAAAGCTCGTGCTTGGCCATCTCCGGAATGGTCTGAATGATGCATCATCCAAAATTCTAGCTCCTGAGGAACGAAAACCTACTCGAAGACCCTGTCCGAATAGACCTGCTGTAAGGTGGGAGATGCAACGATGAGGCAACTGCTGACTGGGTGTTTTGAGGTTCTTAGGCCAGTCTGGAGCATGACAACCGAAGCAAGCCCGAAGCAGAGGTGAAGCCCCGACACTCAAGAAGCCTGACACAAGACCTGACTTCCATGGCCATTTAAGGATCCTCGCATCATTTTCATCCTTGAACCACACGGCTTCGGCATACTTGCTAGGGTACTTTCTGCAGCCTCCAGCACGATTTCAGCTTTGAGCGGGATGATGTTCGTCACCGATGACCAGCATATCGCTGGCAGCTGCATTTCGCGTACAGATTGTGTTGCCACGCTATTCTGAATACAATAAGTACCCTTGTGCGGCTGCATGGCGCTGTCATACTTAGTAGCTTTTTAGCATGATCTAGCCACTGCCGAGAGCTTAAACGTATCGTTATCATTGTATTCATACTCGTCGCTGCTTCATCACGAGTACGGTTCTTTGTCCTACCGCTGGTGGTGTCAGTGTTATCAGTGCTACCCGTGAGGCACAGATGTAGATGCATGCATGCATGGATGCATGCAAACCATAGCGAACCAACCACTCAGCCAGGGGTCTGCCGGCCAAGAAGGAGGCGGGTTGGGATCCTTGTGGTGATTCGATTTCTTACAACCTGTTGTGATCATAGTGTAGTTAATGGAACGGAACAGAATAGAACTGCATAACACACCATGTATAGTACAATATGCCATGGTATGACATATCATAACATGGTACAATGCCATGAAATCTCATATATAATATAGACAAAATATGTCGGAGTTGACTCAATACAATAATGTAGCCTTATGTTACTTATACTATGCAATTTATGATGCGATAATATGTAATATGATATGGTATAGTAAAGTACAATATGACATAATATATCATATTATACCATGTTGAATAAGACTATGTACTGGAATCAAACGAACTTTATAGGAAAATTCGATGTATCGCAATATAGCTGTTAAACCATGCATTAAGGATACAGTATAATACATCTAGCATAGTAAAATAGAATACCAAGCATGTGTTTTAATGTAAGGTCGCGTAACAGCACGTGTTGGTACCTGCCTAGTGAGTCTTCGGACGAGCTATGCAGGAGCCGAAAAATCAGACATGATATGATATGTTATGCTACACTGTACTAGAAACTAGAACATAATTTAAGATAACATGTCGCAGCATAACATCACACGACCTAACATGCAGTAATGTAAGTTCGTGTAATGTATTGTAATGTCATATCACACAACATAATATCTTGTTTCTCGGCAGAGCGAGCGGAGAAACAATATTTGGTAACATTTCTACATATGAATAGCTTGGTACAGTAGAACATCTGAGAACTCCTGTGTCTTGGGTCGAAGGTGCAGGGCGCCTCGGAACTTCCTCCTTCAGGCCACTTCTAAGTTGCCGGGCGGGAGATGTATTGGGGATCTTTCCGGCTCAGAGGAGTGCGAACCCTAAAGGGGGCCATGTGCCCATAGAGGGTCCCTTTTGTAAGGGTGCCGTACTATATTGGGGACCCTAATGTAGAGAACTACCCATGTAGATACTCTATTTTGGCTCTTTCGACGTTTGTTGTTAGAGCTTGCGCCGACGCGCACAGTGTCACATCTGCAAGTCATGATTGTTCAATAGACTCTTAGCTTCTGTGCTTCAAACCGCCACAGCACCCTCTGACCGGAATGCCTTTTTTCAATCTGCACGGCAAGTCACAAGCGCGAGCTGAATCAAGAACCCCCTTCATTCGTGGTCTTCTGGCTCCGCTACACACTCAGAAACTTGCACAACATAGCCGATCAACCCGGCAACATATATTCGGTACCTCATCGCTTCTTTGCAAGTCGCAGGGGATCAGCAGAATTAGCTCTTCAAACTGGAGGGTTATTGTTAGAGTGCAACTAGAGAATCCCACACAAAGTGGGCGAGCGAGAGAGAGAGAGAGAGAGAGAGAGAGAGAGAGAGACAGAGAGAGAGACAGAGGACAATAGCAACCAAAACAGGAGGGATACACTAATCACGCAAAATCAAACAGTAGGAGCGAGGGTGTTGGTCCCTCAATTGTGCTCGAAGATTCATGAAGCCTTGAGCGTGACATCGTGGAGGCCTTTACGTTGCTGTACGATTCTTGGCTGTTGTCCCTTTTTGTTTTTTAGGACTTCACAACACTCGCCTTTTGCCAAAATTGAGCTCAAGAGTGCAAGAGTGGTGGCCGATGCTATGTCTAAAGGCAGCTACAAGCAAAAGCCTTGCTGCTTATACCCTGTAAACCCTTTTTTGCATTGTGCCTCTAGTCTCACCAAGCCGACCTACAGACATGTGCTTCGCTTGGACTGTTTGAGTTTCGGGTGCAGAATCACGAAACTCTAAGCCCCAAAATCCCCAACACCGCGACCGTGGCACCTTAGACGCAACCCTTACACCAAGCCACAAAGCCTAAACCCTGAACCCGAAACCAACAACCACGCGAGTCCAAAGGCGCCGCGGCTGCGCTCTCGGAGCTGGGGCTCTGAAGTGCACGGCTGCGGCAAGGCGCCCCTTGTTTTCAAGTCATTCGCTGCGAAGATCTCTTGCGGCTTACATAGGGTCTGGGGTGTTCTAGGGTTGCGGAGGCACAGACTTGAAGGAAACTCCGGTTGTTTCTGCTGGGCTTCAGTGGCCGGCGGGCCATCGTAATGCTGCAGCCTCATGGTAAAGGCAAATCTCGGCTTCAGCTCCCCTATCCGGCACATCCGACTGCCCTTGTTGATCCGAAGCACAGAAGGCTTCCTGACTTTCTTTTGGCATTCGGACCTTTGGTTCAGGAAGTGGCCGCATGATTTGAGCGCTGCAGCTGGCGTCTGATGCTGAGAGACTGCTCCGCCAGTTGCCGGGACCTCCCCAGAGAACCCAGCCTTTAAGGCTCCAGCTGACAATGAAGATTATAGTTTCAAACAGAGCGTGTCGGATAGAGAAGCCTCATAGAACCCTTCAAGACTTCAAGTGGGTAGAAACCAAGTATTTGTGAGCGCTTCTCGGCGCTTTTCCCGAGCCGCCTGCAGCCAGGCGGCTCGCACGGTTCTGATGCCGCGGCCCATCTGCAGAAGCCCCCGTAAGAAGTCATCAAAATCGGACCCGGAGCCCTTGTGAGCTCTGTTCGTAGACCAAGAGGGCTGTGAGCCCTACATGCCGAGCTTCGGTTCACGAACCCCGGTTAGGCTGGGGGCTTTTGCGGCCGGGTGCCCGGCCGGTGCCGGGGTGCATCAGTGACAGACATAACTGGAGGTTCTCCGTACATGTCGCATATCATTTCGGTATATGTAGATTCTTCTTCTTGTTATTTATGATTGTTGCATTTTTCTCTGGGCCATAAGAGCGAGACACGCAAGGCAGCTATACGGAGAATCTTCATGTGAGTCATTCGCCCTGTGATCCAGACAGGCTTGCTGGGTGCCAGCATCGTGCGTGGAATCTACGGCTATGGTCCAGCACGCCGGACAGCAGCGAAGATGAAAAGACGGGAATCAAACATCAAATTCGCGACACACTGTGCGAGAGACTCCCCGAGACCTCGTCCCCAATGAGCATGAATCCTTGCCCGACAGAGCGTGCATGGCGGAGCGATTTTTGGCTACAGCAGTGCAGCGCATAGCTGAGGGTTCCCTTCGCCTCGTTCTCCTTTTTCCGAGAAGGAGCAAACAGGAGCGAGGGGGATCCGGGCAGTCTCATGGTGCTTTTTCATGATAACAGCAGCTACGAGTAGTAACATTTGCAACAGTTGTAGTAATTGATGATAACAATAACAATAATACTCGTGACAGTAATATGTTGGTTTTATTTTTGGAAAGGAAACTAGGCATCTCGCGAACTTCTTCGATCTCGTCCCTTCGACTTTTGTTCCGGGAGATGCAACATTCTGGTCGTAGGGAAGTTTGAGAAGCACAGACTGCAGTTCCCAAGGCGTCTCTACACCCTGGATGTGTTAGCGCCAGGCTTGTCACTGTTTTGTAAACTAGGTCTGCGGAGATCAGCCCACGTCGCAGCACGGCCTCGTTCAAGCAACCTGGGCACGCCATGGGCCAAACAAAATACGCAAGCAAGCAAGACCCTTGATCGACATGATTGTTGCAGATCATAACGGCACACCAACTTTAAACCCTCAGCCCGTAATCATTACGGGAAACCAGTAGATCAGCAGGTCCTAAACCTTCAGTCTTCATAGAAACCAACCGTGACCCCTACACCCTCCTAGAACCCCCTGGCGCTCCAACGCGCATCTCGGCGGATGGTCCGATCGAAGCGCAAAGCTGCAGCTGAAGCTCCAGAGGAGGAAGAAACCCCAGGGCCGTCATCTCACTCGAAGCCTAGACGAAGAAAGGAGCCTGGCACTCTCAAGGAGCAGCTCGATGAAGCCAAGGAGCGAGAAAGGAAGAGCTGTGAGGAGCAGGGCAGATCTTTCAAGCAGCTTAGCCAGTCAGAGTCGGCTTTGATCCAGATCCGACACTACCAGCAGACCCATAGCTTGCAGATACCGAAGCTCCGGTTCCAGCGGGTAGTGCGCGACATTTGCGACGCAATGTCCAGCGAAAGGTACTTGGAGTGGCAGCAAGGACGAGCGGAGCGCCGTCGAACTATACCAGACCTGCAGGAGGATGACTGGGAGCCCCCGAAGAGGTATCGCATGGACACTCAGGGACTCCTGGCACTGCAAGAGGCCTGCGAGAGCATGCTCGTTGGACTCTTTGAGGACATGAATGTTTGTGCCGTACACTGCAAGCGCGTGACAGTCATGCCCAATGACCTCGTCCTTTGCCGTCGCCTGAACGGTGCCTGGCAGTGGGAACCCGGCCAACAGAAGGTCCCGCAAGGGAGATGACGTGCAAGGCTCGCCCATTTTTTTAAGTCTGTCAGGCAATCAGGCAATGATCAGGTTCAGCCCGAAAACGTCAGGCAAAGGCTTCTAGAGGACTCCTCACGGAAGCGGCTTTTGAGAGCGTCAAGCAACCCTCAGCCAAAAACACAACAAGCAACTACAAACATCGAGCCTGAGAAGTGCAGATGGACTTCGAAATGGGCGAGACATAGCAGGGGATTTCACCGAAAAAAAAGGGGCCCTGAATTGTTTTTTCGGGTGTAAAGCTTGGTATAGAGTGTTGTTAGAGTTACAGAGGCCTGATAGGGTGTTTTGCAATATGGGGCTCCCTTCTGAATCACATGCCGGGCGTGTTCACAGGCCTTTTGCAAAGCAGCTAACACCCCCCAACACCCCCCCAAAGTCGCAAGCACCAATAAGTCCACAGCTTTGGTACGAACCCCCATATCTTCTGAAGGCCCCAGGACGCCTCGCATGTGGGGACTGGGAAAGTCTCGCTTGGCACTGAATCATAGAAGAAAATCTTCAAAATAGGGAATATGTCTGTCTGTCTATGGGGCACCCGACAGTTTGGTGTCAGTGTAGGCTTTCGGGTCAAAGATGCTTCTCCAACTTGTGCCAAGTGCTGATCGGACTATGCTCCATGCCTTTCCCTGTAACACTACAAGGAGTCGCAGGGGTTGCAAATGTCCGGCTATCCTGGTCTCAGAGCTACCTTGTTTACCTACCAAGAATGGCATGTTCCGCCTGAGAGTAATCCCATGCGGCCTCCTTGAATGCTGTGCGTTGCTGCTACAGCTCGGAGTTGGCAGTTAAGGTTTGGGTTTTAGGATGCCTGATTCGGGGTTGACGGTCCTCGCGTTGTAGCAGCAAGCCTGCCCAAGTCTGCCATGTGGATTGGGATGCCACTGGCTCATTTGGCGCTGACCATATCACGAGATGAGACTTGCGAGACCTATTATTCCAGAACTTCTACTTATCCCCTAAGCCCCATAGCACAAACCTTCGCAGGCGCGACACCGCTAGGTCCCACAGCAGTCTCAGAAAATGCGTTTCCTCAACATTTATACAGTGATACAGAGCCCGATGTGGAAGACTCTGGCATCGGCGGAGGCAAAAAGTCAATGCAAATCTCGATTTTTCAGGGATGATGTGGATGCCTTGAAGGTTGACCCTAAACCTTAAAGCATACACCCTGGTGCCCTGCCTGAACTTTGCTTTCTGGGATGATTTGAATCCGAATGCCCTGAGTGTTGAAGAACATGTCTTGTACCAGTGTCGGCAACCTGCAAGGTGGAACTCACCATGGTGCTGAACTTGTTAAATGGTGAGATGAAATTCATGACTTTGCCGTATAGCTGTTGTTTCGTTCTTCTAACCCATTTGCTAAGCTGTTCTTGCGGCAGCGGCTATTTTGGCAGTAAGGCTCGTCGGATGGAGGAGCTCTTTGCAAGATGCTTTTAAACGAGAGAGCCGAAGCGCGCAGCCTCCAGGAGCCCCATGGCCGTTGTTCAGCTGTTTCTCCTGGCCTTGCTTCCGGCAGCTGCAGAGGTATCGGAAGGACCGGAGATACATCAGCCGTTTATTGGCCTTCGGCTTGGCAACCGCATGCCAGAAAGGGCTCCAATAAAGGTCTGAAGCACCTTGGATGGCCTTGCCAGGCTGTTGAGTGCCGAACCGTTAGCGCACTCCCCTCTGAAATCTTCAGGCAACTCGCTTGGTATTGCAGCCCTTACATACATACAGTTACATGCATGCATGCATACATATTTGTTGGCATGCTCATTTCTACATATAGGGATTATAGAGATACATACACATATGTACATTTGCATACATGCACACACACATATAAGTTTTTACATATATATATACATGTATACAGGTTCACACATAGAGAAGAGAGGGTATGTGTTTATACGCATACGCATGAAGCGGCTCAGGATGTCCTGCAGGGTTCGGCCGGCCTGCGCCACGACTCATCTTGAGAGCTTGAGGATGATCGTGTTGTAGAGAGTATAGGGTTTAGGGTTTAGGATGTACTGTAGGGTTTAGGGCTTAGCATACCGGGCTTAGAAGTTAGCGTATGCCCCTTCTGGCACATCAGAGAGCCCCAGATTGAAAAGAATCTAGGGGTGTTTCACCTGGTTTGTACAGGGCTGAGGGTCTTGGCCAGTGGTGCTACGGCTTGTCAAGATGCTGTCACTTGCCCGGCCGACTTCCCACTGCCCCCCTTGCCAAAAAAGGGTCTTGGTCGTAGTTTCAGGGTTGTTCTGTTTCCCAGTATCCCTCTACTTCACTCTCATTTGAGCCACCGGCCCCGTGCCATTGCTCTGACAGGCACGATGGATCTTTGAGACTTCTTGCTTTTTATACTACGATTGCCAAACTTGTGTTGTGTCAGTGGCATAGGCAGTAACAAGGAACTTGTGTTATCATTGCCTTGATTCGGATGATCCTGATTGACGTTGTGACTTCAACCACTATGCGACAGCAGCACAGGAGCCGATGTTTTGTTCCTCATGACCGCAATGATGACCGTTGTACATAAGAACTTACCATAAAATACTATATTTTCCTAGAATCTACTATATATATATATAGCATATATAACCTATTCTACTGTGTCATACTATAGTGTCTTTGTTTATGGTTCTCCATGCTTCTGTCCCCAGGGCGGCCTTGCGCACTCCGAGCGTGATGATGGCTGCCAAGTAGGGCAGATGTCCAGATGAGCCTCGCTGAAACCTATAACGCCTAAACCCCAAACCCGAAAACAAACCCTGAACCCCTAAAACCCCTGAGCCCTAAACCCGAATCCATGGCATTGATTGCCTGCCTCCCTGCTCCAGCGAGCCTCGAAACTGACGCCTGAGGTGCGCGGGAGCCCGTGCATGATCTGTCCTGAAGGAACGTACAGCCCTGAAGGGGAGAAGCTCTGCCAGAGATGTGGCCCAGCTGCTGTTTGTGGGTGTAGGCAATCTTTCAAGTAAACGCTCTTCTAAATTAGGGGTGCAAGGTGGATGCGCAATCTTCTAAATAAGCGCTCTGTTAAATTAAGCTAAAGCTATGGAGAGTGTGCCGTGTTCGAAACTCCAGGGTGTGCAAGCTGGACGTGCAATCTTCCAAATAAACGCTCTGTTGAAATAAGAAAACACTTTTGCTACAGTGATTGTGCTGCGGCGGCTAAGAGTTTAAGGTTTAGGCCCAGTTTAGGCCCTACCGGGCCTAGCGTTGTAGGCTGCTCTGAGGCCTCATTTCCGAGTCTTTCCTGCACTGCATCGGGTGATCTCGCAACCCCAAACCCTGCACTCCACACTGTGCCTTCTACTTTTATGACTCCTCAAACCGTGAACCCTAAGAGAAACCAACAACACCTTTTTTCACTAACAACTATTTTCGTTGCGAGTATTGCTATTGTAGCTCTTGTTACTGTAACTACTGTTATTGTCATATTCCTTGTTTTTTTTCTATGATCACTTAGTACGATTCGGATTATGTTTCCCTTTGTCTGCTGAGGTACAGCTGGCACCTGGAGCGACGTGCGCGGAGCCAAAAGGGCCGAGGTCTGGAGTCATCCGCAACAACTTCGCTTCAAACGAGCTCAGGGGAAAGCCATACTTTTGGGGCTCAAAGGTTGTGAAAAGGTGTGTGTGTGTATATATAT